CACGTACACGCACCTGGCATAACTTTTGAGCTGCAGGGTCCAGGACTTGAACTATGGTCAACTAGTTCAGTGATGTAACCACTACAGGTTGATGTATGCCATCTACTGGTCCTATTTAATAGGGTTTTACAAAAGCTGTTGAATATTCCTTTTTGTCAGAGGCTCTGTACCTCAAGAGTGGCCACTTTAGGGGGACTTGGAAAATGATATTCTGTAGTTAGTGACTAAAATAACACTAACTACAGGTAGATTACAGATACTCCTGGATTTATGATGGGATTATATATTATTACATTTGTAATAAATTGAAAATATCCTTAAGTCAAAAATGCATTTAATGCACTTTATCTACCAAACATCCTAGCTTAGCCTAACCTCCTTTGTGCTTAACACCTTTTCATTAACCTGCAATTGGGCAGAGTAATTTAAAAAAAGCCTGTTTTATAGAAAAGTATTGGATATCTTATTTAACTTATTGAATACTATACTGAGAATAAAAAACAAACAAACAAACAAAAAACAGAATATTGGTATTGGTACTCCAGGTAGTTTTCTACTGAACGCTTACCTTTCTCGTACCATTGGGAAAATGAAAAAACAAGTTGAACCATCATAAATTGGGGACTATCCACAGTGCTGTGTATTTAGAACCTGACTCTGCTACCACCGGGCAAGTTAAATCTTTACAGGCCTCCATTTCCTCCGTAAAGTGGGGCAAATGGTGCTATCTGCCTCAGATTGCTATAATGTAGCTAGATTACTGTGGGACCCATTAAGTCATGTGTGTTGCTGGAGTTGCCATTCTTCCACACCCAGTTTTATTTAGAACAATACAGATTGAGTATCCCTTACTCAAAATGCCTGAGACCAGAAGTGTTTCAGATTTTTATGTTTCTCATCGCTTTATACATCTAGCCCCAAGGTAATTTTATACAGCATTTTAAATTGTGTGCATGAAACAGAGTTTGTTCATATTGCACCATCAGAAAGCAAAGATGTCACAGTCTCAGCCACCCCTTGGACATTCTGTGTTGTTTGGCATCACCATCATTCTTGGCTGTGAATTTATATGCTTCTAATAAACAGTCATTTTCTTACACATAAGTACTTGACATTAAAAATTACGTCATACCATTAATACAGGGACCCTCCGAGGTACTGAATAAATGCGTGTTGTGCATTTTGACTACAAACCATTGCTAGGTCAAATGTGGAATTTTCCACTTGTGGTGTCTTGCTGGCGTTCAAACAGTTTCAGGTTTTGGAGCATTTTGGTTTCAGGTTTTCCAATTAAATATGTTCGGCCTTTATAATAAAAGTCCTTTTATAGCATTAAAAGTCAGTTTTTGTCTTTGTTCTTCAGTGTTCTGTCCACTTGTAGATTCCATATATCATTTCCATTTTTTGCAGAGATAAGCAGGATACCAGGGAGCCAGTGGGAGGTTGATCCTCACCCTGAAAGGCCATTAGAAATGACAAGTTGAGTTGTAGGGAACTTTCTTAGTTTTTCCATTCTCTGTGAATGAGTCTTCTCTCCCTCCCGAGGCCTTATCAGACTACATTCTGTGGATACAGGGTGTGCAGCAGATGTCTCACCTGTTAAGAGCAGTGGGAACAATCTGTAAACTATGGAGAAGACAACATCTTTGGCTAAAGGTATCTTCTAACTTATTTTAGTATTAAAATACTAAAGTTCTGCAGCTTAAGAGACTATTTCAAAGAGTGAATAAAAAGTTTAGCAACTCTCACAAAGAAACTAGGGCTCCAAGATGAAAGTAGCTTGTTTATTTGATATTACATTTTTATTGTTTCTGTTATCATTGTTTATTTTTATTATCTGCCTGATGCAAAATAGACTTGAAGCAGCTAATGAAATTCCACATATAGTATCAGAAAATAAGAACTCAGCTAAAGAATTTGGGGGCACTCAAAGTACAGTTTATACTGAACGCGTATCTCTTCTAGATAGAGTAATTAGAAATAGGAAATCAAAGAGAAGGTTAGACAGAATAAAAAGACGAAAAGCATAAGGAGTTAGAGTGGCTTTTCAATTCATTTATGATCTCAGCATCACTTTAGCACTGACATTGCTAAAGTGGGGGAGTGGCATGCGGAGGTGGTAGTGAAGAGAAAACTTAGGTGAAGATTTCTATAAAGCAAGTACCCGAAATACACTAGATGATCCTACAGCTCTGCACGCGTTCTGTGCATGTGCTGCTTCCGAGCAGCCAGAAGAAGAGGGCACAGGTGATGTGGAATGCATCTTACTTCGTTAAAAGACCATTGCTGAGGAAAAGCAAAGCTAGTCCCAATTTTGAGGTGGAGAGAAACTTTTCCATGGATTATGAATCTTTATTAATATTCTTTTAGAAAATGTAACATTTGAGCATTGTATTTACAGATCCAGAGCACTAGATCTTTCTAATATGCCGTGTTGAGTTAGGAATGGAAGGCTTTAAACCATCCCACAGTAATACCTCTATCATAAACAACCAGAAAAGTGGTACAGTGACTTTTTTTTTTTTTTCAGAAATACCTGAATCAGGGACCAGCAGTTGGTGTAATGACTATGTTGCTAGACTCTCCCATATAGCCGACCGCGGTTCGAGTCCCAGACCCGGTGGCTTAAACTCACGGTGGGTGCATGTGTGTGTGTGCCCAAGATCCCGAGAGGAGAATGGAGGAGAAGGGACTGTGGCATGGCCATCCCACCGGGGAATGATTTCTCTCTTTCTGTCTCTCTGTCTGTCTCTGACTTTCTGGTGAGTGCACGTGCCCTGTAGCAAAAAACTTCTCGAGAAAAAAGAAAATACCAGAATCAGAACCAGAAGCTCTATCAATGCCTAAGGTAATATTCCCTAATGTTAGAGAAAGGGTTTATGATACAAGAAAGAACAGGGCTTTTCAGAAACAAAGGCCATTATGAAGGTGTCTGAGAGGGTGTGTTCATTACATGTGTGGAGGATTTGTGTGTGAAACCCCAGGAGTCAGCCCCGAGGCATGCAAACAAGGACATGAAAGAGTGACCCTCCCATCATCCTTATTCTTTCACCAGCCAATGACACAGCCCTTTGAGTCTGCTCTCACCTCCGTGCACCTTCCCCCAGCCTCACCCCATGTCAAGACCAGGCCTTCGGCTGGGTGTCCTTTGGACCTACACTGTCCAGTATAAGAGCCACGAGCCGCCTATGGCCACACAGCAGTGTGATGTGGCTATCCAAAGTGAGACATGCTGTAAGTGCAAAATACCAAATTTAGAAGAACATTTAAAAAATCCCTCTTGTATGACTTTTTTAACGCTGACTGCATGTTGAAATTTTAACATTTGAGATATATTAAATAAAATATTAATTAAATATATTAAATAAAATATTAATTCCACTTGTTCTGTTTAATATTTTAAAATTTTTTGATAGAGGACACATTCATTCCCCAGCGAGAGAGAGAACGTGAGAGAGCACCCCCCTTGGGGGTAGTCACACCACAGTCCCTTCTCCATTTCTCCTTTTGGGATTTCAGGCACACAAAATGCACACATGTCTGGCATGTTTCTCAAGCCTCTGGGTCTGAGACTTGAACTGCACAATCAGCCATGTGGGATTCAGACATCTTAACCACCAAGCTGGACAGCCCTTGTTTTTGTTTTTTTCTTTTTTTTTTTTGAGAGGTTTTTCACTATAGGGCGTGTGTGCTTGCCAGAAAGACAGAGAGAAAGTGAGAAATCACCCCCCAGAGGGGATGGCCATGCCACAATTCCTTCTCCTCTATTCTCCTCTTGGGATCTTAGGCACGCACGCACACACGCCCGGCATGAGTTTTAAGCCACCGGGTCCAAGACGCGAACCATGGTCAACTCCGTGGGAGTCCAGAGACATAGCCATTATGCTAACTGCTGGTCCCGGACTGCCCTTGTTTTACTTTTCTAAAATTATATTCATGGTTTGTTCATGGACTGAATTCTGTTCCTACTAGACAGCACTGCTTTGGCCCTCCTTGGGTTACCTCCACAGTGCCTCTGTTAACCTTCCTTTCCACACTTTCCCCACCTTCCCACTTATTCCCCATCCTTGAAGTTCCTTAACAAAGGAAATCTTTTTCTTTTTTTTTTTTTTTTTTTAACTTAGTGGTGAGATTCAAATGTGGGTTTGAATTAATGCTTTGGGGGGATGGGTTGTTTTTGTTTCTGTTTTAAATAGCTTGTCCACATTTAAGTTTGTAGCTGATAGAACCTTCCGTGGTTGAAGGCAATGGAAGGTGAATTCCAAATTTCCTAGGGTTTAGGGTTTGAGAGGGTGGCACAAAGGGGTCAAAACAAGGCATTTGTTCAGGCCGTTGATCTCTCTCAGGTCTGCTTAGGATATTCCTCCTATGGGAGGAGTCCTGGCTTTGAGGGGTGGGGGAAAATTTGATTTCACATTATGCTTTGTTCCCTAAAAATTTTACAATTGCTGTATTTCTATAATTGGGTTTTGTTTTTTTTCCAGCTGAGCTAAATTTGGCTCTTGGTTTTGATTTCTATTAACTCTGAGGATCCAATTTAAAACTATACATCCTTTTTTTATAAAATGCCCAATTATAATAACAGTGAAGGGTGTGTAAAGCTGGCGCCTGTTTTCTCTGAGGCTTCATGCTCTCCAGGGGCTGCTCCCCTGCCATCCTATCCTGGAGCCCTCTTGCCACAAGTTTCCCCTACCCAAACCAGAGTGGCCAGGGTGCCCATTGTATTTTAAAATTACCTATCTCGGACCCAACAATTGGAATGGTACAAAAGAAAAACTAATGTAATACTTCCTGGGGTTCTGGATTTTGAAAGGAGGATGATTGCAGGACCCAAAACTTGAAAGACGATTTGAAACAGAGACTTAAGTTTTGGATCCCTTTTAAGTGCAAATGAGAATCAGTGTGGTTGCACCAGCAGAAGTGCCTGTGTTCGTGTTTGCTGTTCTTGCACCAGCCACAAGTAGCCACATTCATTGTTCTTCCCCCGTGCCTTCCCCTAGGAGCTGCTCTGAAGCCTACCGCATGCCAGTGATGGAGTACAAGATGAACGAAGGCGTGTCGTACGAATTCAAGTTTCCCTTCCGAAATAACAACAAATGGCAGAGGAATGCCAACAAGGGGCCTCATTCACCTCAAGTTCCGTCCCAGGTGCAGAGTCCCATGACCTCACGGCTGAATGCTGGGAAAGGAGAAGGGAAGATGCCTCCTCCTGAAAGAGCCGCCAACATTCCTCGAAGCATTTCCAGTGACGGACGTCCACTAGAAAGGCGGTAAGTGTGCCTTCAAAGGTCACCCTAAATCTCTACCCCAGACTTAAATAACAGGAGACTGATGAGTGCTGGCTTTAGGCTTTCCCACATTTTATCAAGAAGTAAAGCTGACATGCAGACCCTTGTGGTTTTCCAAAACATGGTAGCTTTCCAAGCTACCAGCAAACATTCAGCTCTGTGCAATATTTGTGCTTTGCTCTTTAATTTCCATGTGATGATCAACAGAATCGCCACTGTACACTTAGTAGCTATATGGATTAGGAATTTGCAGAATCTTTGAGGTGACAGTGACCGTATTATCTTCTCTACCAGTCTTTCTGTTTTGGGGGGCATTAGTGAGATGATAGGAGAGACAGCATTCAGGTTTTGGTGGAATATCTGTGTTTGTGTCACTTTGCTAACAAAGAATGCTAAGAAAGGAAAACAGCTAGTACAGTACAAACATTTTCCACTGCTCAGAAAATAGGAGAAGCCGTCACACAGCAGGATAGGGAAGAACATTGAGTGAAATAAGCAAAGGCAGAGGGATTGAGGATCCTGGAAAGTAAGAAACTAAAATTTGTCAGTAAGCTGAAAGTCATGGTGGGTCCTTTCACAGCGGACAGCTGGTTAACTCTGCCTTTCCATGGAAGCCCTAGCACTTTTGTCTGGAATTCACTGTTAAATGCAGCACTCTAAACTGGAGTCTGGGTCTAAAATTAAACTGAAATGGGTACTTTCAAACTGTGAATAAAAATTGTAAAATTTCAAATAATTACACTGGACTACAGTGACCCCATATTGTAAATGCTAACAAAGGAGATGGTTGTATTGAATAATCTCTCAGTCACCTGTTAAAAGAAACCAACTTCAGGGGAACCAGCAGTTAGCGTAATGGCTATGTCGCTGGACTCCCACGTAGTCGACCTCAGTTCGTGTCCCGGACCCGGTGGCTTAAAACTCACACTGGGCGCGTGTGCGTGCGTGCCCAAGATCCTGAG